GGTTATCAACTGTGTACAAAAACAGAGAATTACTTCAGTACTGGGTTATCAACTGTGTACAAAAACAGAGAATTACTTCAGTACTGGGTTATCAACTGTGTACAAAAACAGAGAATTACTTCAGTACTGGGTTATCAACTGTGTACAAAAACAGAGAATTACTTAAGTACTGGGTTATCAACTGTGTACAAAAACAGAGAATTACTTCATTACTGGGTTATCAACTGTGTACAAAAACAGAGAAGTACTTCAGTACTTGGTTATCAACTGTGTACAAAAACAGAGAATTACTTAAGTACTGGGTTATCAACTGTGTACAAAAACAGAGAATTACTTAAGTACTGGGTTATCAACTGTGTACAAAAACAGAGAATTACTTCAGTACTGGGTTATCAACTGTGTACAAAAACAGAGAATAACTTAAGTACTGGGTTATCAACTGTGTACAAAAACAGAAGTTCTTCAGTACATCACGGAGGCGCGGTAGTCGAGTTGTAGGTCGACGTGCTTGTGACTGAAGGGTTGCAGGTTCTAGGCACGGCACTGTGTTGTATCTTTGAGCAAGATACTTGACTCCGCTTGTTCCAGTCTACTCAGCTGTAAATGAGTACGTGGTTGGGCAGTGCTTGTATTGTAGAATGCTAGCTGTGACCGCCGAAATGGCAGCACTGGCTGTATGCTCGGCAGGTAGTTGAGAACAATATTGGCTTTTTGCAAAGGCCCTATACTGTGAATGATAATTTGTGAACCGCTTTGAGACGACCTACGAACAATGTTGTGATAAAGCGGTATATAAGAACTTCAAATTATTATTATTATTACTGGGTTATCAACTGTGTACAAAAACAGAGAATGACTTGAGTACTGGGTTGTTAATATATCTATGTAAACAGGCTTGTATAGGCTATTACACCATGTCACCTGGATGTGTTTGAGACTTGTTGGATTACAATGACTTTTGGTCATTAGAGCATATAATAGACTCCCTAATCCAGGCTAGCTTATTTGTAATGTGAAAATTTTACTTCTGCAGATACATTTTGTATCAAACATGAAGATAACCTTTTTTTTTGCTGGTTTGAATGGAAAAAAGACAATAAGAGGAAATGTGTTGATAATAATTATGTTTCATGTTCTGACTTGTTCTGAATTTATAATATTGACATTACAATAAAATATATGACTATTAATTTGCAAACATTGGAGTTACTTTTCATTCAGGCTTCAGAACTTGCATCACATGGAAAC